AATCTTTTATCAATTATCACAATTTCCCCACTTCTCTTTTTTTTATCCTATTGATTCGTGTTTTGGCTTCAAATTTTGTCAGTACCTCCTGTACTCGATTTAATTCATCTACTGCCATTAATTTTGTTGCCTTCTCAGGTTCTCTTGGTATTGTAGCAACTTGCATTCCTTGAACCACCGGCTGGATTAGTCGAATGAAGTGTGGAACAAGACAAGGGATGAACAGTAGTCCTAATAATGTACATGTTAACATAAATCCTAATTTCTTCCACCAAACTCCCCCTAACAGGTTATTTTACCAATTATCATTAAGCATAGAGTTTCAGGTTTGTACAGGTACATGGGCTATTCGTTTTATTTCTTCTGCAATTTTAGTAATTACTTGACCATTATTATCAATTTCTAAGCAGCATTCACAATTATTGAACTTTCCACACACTCCCCCCTCGCTATTTCTGTTTGATTTCACTGTAACAACTGTTCTGGCCTTGATCTTTCCTCACCCTCCATGGCCATTGTTCAGTCATCTGCATTCCTCCGAGTATCCATCTTAAGTCCATCATATTCTGGCGATGGACATGATTCTGATTATCCCAGTTAGGATTATTTAATGGCCATTTCTGGTCTCCCCTAGGTCCAATCTGATGCTCCCAGTCCCATACCCTCATTCCAGCCTGTCTGATCATTTCCCGTTCTTCCCTGGTGAATAGGATACTTAATATAGATTGGAATTCCATCCAAGTATACATACTTGGTCCGAGGAATTGATCTAGTCTCTCCCATACCCCTATAGGATCCTCTAATAGTTTTCCCATTTCTTTTTTAAAGTTTCTCACTTCCCCTGTGTTCAAGGGAACATTTACAAATCCAATTAATCCAGCCTGTTGTCCTGCTAATGGCACTTCCCTCGGGGGGTAAAGGTGTCGTTATCTCCCTCCTCTCTGGTGATTCTCTCCTGGTATTTCTTTGACTGGAGAGTTTTTAGAGCTATGGGAGTACCAGGAGGAGAAGTGGGTGCGTGGGGGGGGTCTCCTGTATTTTCTGTATTATACGGAGGTGGGAGATTGTCAAGGGGCTCCCAGGTAACTTTTTTTTGTCTTCATCCTCTTTTTCTTTTAAAGTCTATATCAAGGATGGCTTGGACTGTTTTGCCCACATACTCACATTCCTCTCTGTTAAATGGTTCTTTACGAGCCACATATGTGTTTAATGCCCGACAAATCCAACCCTCAAATGATCCCAACATGGGCCACTATAGGTTATCTTTACGGATCATTTCTCTGGTCCATTCCACCATGCAATATTGAATCAATTTTTCTTTACTTTTTCCTCTGTATACCATCCCTGTGTCCCAACATTTTAATATTACTCCCAAAGGGCTGCCTGGTGCTATTTCTGGCAACCTACTTGTTTTGTCTTTATTTTCCCGGTCTCTTTGTGGACCAAATGAACTTGAAACTCTTCGTGGGTCCTTGGGACTCAGAATCTTACTCCCATTTTTACCTCAAGGGACTGTCTTGAGGTGTTTGCACTCCCCGATGTGTTCTGCCCAAACCCCTGCCTCTCCTCGGGTCAGGATGGACTGGAACCCGCCTCTACCTGGGCTGGGATGGGAAAAGCAGCTTTTCCCTTCTCCCTCCGTGACTGGTGTG